GCTTTTGTTTGTGGATTTCAGAAGCTGCTTTTAATTAGGTGAGGTCTGAGTGATTTACAAAATTAATCCCCATGGAGAAGCACTGGGCATTTCCCTGGCATTGCCTCTAGAGAGTGTGTGGCATAAGAAAAAAAAAGGAACTTGTTTAAGGTTCAACCACAAAGCAAATCTCATTATTCTGGAAAGTGGGAGGGTGTTGGTTGAGTGGCAAACCCAATGCAATTTATATAGGTATGCTGTTGTTTTTTTTCCAGACACTACCTCGGGGGGGGGGTGATTCCTGCAAAGTTAGTTTTCAGGGCTGGTACCCAAAGAAAGAAATCTTAGGGTACAAAGACTGATGTATGGAGAAAATCTCAATGTCATCCACTGCCCTGAAGGCATCTAACAACAGGGCAGCTGTGCTGTTGGAGGAGTACTCTTGCTCTCCTCTGTTTGTTCTGAAGTCTTTTTTTTTAATGGTTTCCCTTATATTGGAAACAATGGGAGTGAAAGAAGAGAAAGAGAGCTAGATTGGCTCCTGTGCTGGTCTAAATTTCACCCTCATTTGAAGGGGTGCTTGTGTGGCTTTGGAGAAGCTCAGATCCAATCCATTTCCCCATCTTCCCTGGCATGCCTCCAAACTGCCCTAACAAGTCACCTTGGGGGCCCAACTCACATCAGAACTGCAAACCTGGTTGGTCCAGGTTTTGGAAGTTGTTGCAGTGCTGGAGAGGATCTGGGGATACGACTTCACGTCCCCCTCTTGGATATCAGAGCTCTTTCTCCAATCTCCGGAAGTAAGCAGCAATGTATCCTGTGACCCCTGGGAAATTCTCCCAAGAACTTTAGGACTGCACCCATAATAGGGTTGCCATATGTCCTCTTTTTCCAGGACACACCCTCTTTTTCATGGGTAGAGGCGTCATAACGATCCATAGTTAAAAGTAGAACTCGGCAAATGTGTCCTCTTTTTTGCTCTTCAAAATATGGCAGCCCTAAATTAGTTGCACATGTTCTAGTTGATCAAGTGATTCATTTATTGATTAAATCTGCATTCATATCCAAAGGAGGAAAGGGAATAGTTAGTGCAGCAGCTCAGAACAAATTAAATGGTGCACTTCATGATAAAGCATGAAACTCAGTGCATAGAACTGATACCCCAAGAAGCTCCATTGGATACCTTCCTATTTTCCTAATATGAAAAATGGTGACTGCAAATAGTTGTGGACAGTTATAAATAAAGCAAACACCTCTAGTTCCATGGATCCAATTTACATTTTCTGTATAGCAGCGTAAAGAGTATTCACTAGGCTGTAATTAAATGTTTAGCATTGGTGTCATGTAATGCATTATTACTATTCGATAGTATGCCAAATAAAAATGACTAAATTCATATTTATATGCAAGTTTGTAATACACTTTGTAAGAAATTCCTTGTTGATTCAATTAGGATTTTAAGTTCCAAAACTTTCAGAAGCACCTGTCAATTATTTGACTTCTTAGCCAGCCAGTGACATTTCTGGCTTAGCCCTGTAATAAAACAGGAACAGAGTAAGATATATGTGGTCAGTGTTGCTTTTCTGGTATTGTTTCAGAAAGTGCAAAACAGGTAGGTTCACATTTACATGCAAACTGAATCAAATTTTGCCCCCAGTTCTTGGTTGCTGGATTAGAATTCCTGACAGGCTGGTTTTGCATGTGGATAGATTTTTAAAAAAACATGGGAGTACCTTCAAACATGTGATACACACACCCACACCCAAAGCAGCAGTGCCATTTTTCTAGAAAAACGGGTGCTGGAACTCACCTTGTTCTCTTATAATGGCATTGGCACCCACAAGAGAGGTGCTGGAACTGAGTTCTGGCAAATTCCAGCTGGTAAAAAGCCCTGCCCAGCAAGGGCAAATTTAGGTCACTGCAAGCAGTGTGGTCGGACTGGGGATGCAACCAAAAAGGACACTTTCTCAAAGATTCAGAAAGGGGGCGTGAAGGCTCTAACAGGGTCCTAGGGTCCTCCACCATCCTTCTCAAAGCTGGGCAAATACTTACTGGGCTTCAGGAAGGAGATGGATGGCTCTAAGACCCTGCCAAAGCCTCTCACCTACTTCCCAAAGCCAAGGCCAACCCCTGCCCTCAGCAGTCCAAAATGGCTCAGTCTAGCGAAAGCCACACCTGTGATATGGACTTTGCCTGAGAAGAATAATCCCCGCCCCAAAGCACCATTTCCCCTTATTTATTATTATTTATTTATTCAATTTATACACCGCCCTATACCCAGGGGTCTCAGGGTGGTTCACAAACAAGACCACAACATATAAAATCAAACCAAAAACAATAACCCAGTAAAAACAAAACAAAAAAGAGTCACATTCTGAAAGGGTGTTGGATGTCAATACTGTTATGTACTGAAGTTCTCACCCTGGGCCAGCAGGGGGATACTGTAGATAGTTATGCAAATAAGGGATCGAAAGTGACGTTCAGTGATTGGATAGTTTTAGAAAATTGTTACAGTTACGTTGTACTAGAGCTTTATATAAGCAGGCTGACTGAACCCTTCAGTTCTGTTCTGTTCTGGCCTGTGAATAGACAAGAGCTGTTTGAAGAATCTCTGTGTCATCTGATATGTTCACCCACAACTTAACAAATACGATCAGCCAAAGGCCTGCGTAAAAAGGAATGTTTTTGTCTGGCACCTTCTCCTTCTTTGCAAAGCCAATCAGAACAAGCTGCACACCCAGCCACCCAAATCAGCTGCAGCAGAGCAGAGGTGGGATCTCATTCCTGTGGATGAATCAATAGTCCTTTTTGTGCAATTAGCCTATGAATAGGGAATGTGTATTTGATGAAAACTGGCTCTTGCCTGTTCAATTTTCCAGCTTGTATTATACTACTATTATTATTAATAGTAATAATAACATCAGCTGCCAGAGCTGGCCTTCGCAGCCCCGAGGAATGAGTGATCTTAATATTAATGCCTGCTGTATTTCAGCCCCTAATTGTGCCCTTTTAGAGGGATCCTTTTAAAAGTTCACAAAAGCTGTTTCAACGAGGAGAAATTGAATGAGGCCTGATCATGACAGCAGGGAGCTCTCAGGAGAGTCTAGCGAGCTGCAGCTATTAAAGTCTCCAACAGAATGCTTTGCCTCCGGTGGTAAGAGAGAAGAGTCTTTGGAACCATTTAACGGCGGTTTGCTAGATTCAAGGATATAGGAAAGTGGCGTATGTACATTTTGCACTGGAAAAAAAATGTGAATTTGAGGGAATGAACAGTACGGATTGCCTTGCCATGGCCTCATGCAAAGACTCCAAAGCTCAGAATAACGAAATCACATATCTTCCAAGTGTCCCAATTTTCCAGGGACAGTCCCAGAATTAAGAGCAGAAAACAAGGTTGTTTCATATTCCATGTGACAGCCTTTGAGATGTCGAGGGAGCCTACAACTGCCTCCCCTTCTCTCCCATCCCTGCACTAATACGAACACCAGTTACTCTGGGGCCCAAATACAGGAAAACGCTGTTTGCCTTTCAATGCTGGCTGTGGGTTTCCCGGAGGCTGACCACTGCAGGAAGTAGGATTCTGGGCAAGATCAGGAATCTGGTCTAATCCAGAAGGATTTTTCTGTTTGTATGTTGTTTGCATTAAACCCAAGTCATGCTTATTCACTCTTGTTCCTTGCTACTTTTCTCCCCACTTTCCTCATCCCCCAACTATCAAACTTTAAACCAGTGTTTCCCAAACTTGGGTCTCCAGCTGCTTTTGGATTACAATCCCCATCAACCCAGCCTAGTGGTCTTGCTAGCTAGGGATGATGGGAGTTGTAGTCCAAAAACAGCTGGAGACCCAACAGCTGCTAAAATTCTAGGCATAGGATAAGGCTACCAGTGGCTACTAGCCATGTTGTCTATGCTCTGACTCCACTGTCAAAGGCAGCATACTTCTAGGGATCACAAGTGGGGAGAGTGCTGTTGTGCTCAAATCCTGCTTGTGGGCTTCCCATGGGCGTGTGGTTGCCTTCTTTAGAACAGGATGCTAGACTTGATCTAGCAAAACTTTTCTTACATACTTATTTCTCATGCTCTCCTTTCCCTTCTGCCTGCAGAGCAAAATTACAACCTGGCTGCACATAGGTAAGGTTGTCGAGTGGGCTCAAGGAGGAACGGGGCAGGAGGTCTAGTGGAGGCAGGCTTCCTGAATGTATTGGGGCATTTAAAAGTGACGCCTCAGGGCGCTTGTGGTATTTGAATGCCAGTTGATATCTATATGGCTCTGCTTCCGTCATATGTTCTGGTGCTTAATATATAACAGTGATGTGTGTAAAGCGGCCAGCGGAGACGGTGACTCATCCATCCTGGCAATCTGTTAAGGCAAGGATGAAGTTTATTTTTACAGGCCAAAAGGTATTGAAGATGATCGTGATTACATTTAGCCATTGCTGCATCTTGTGGTAGCAAAGTCCATCGTCAAGAAGTGTCTGAAGAAGTACTTTCTTTTCTGTTCTTGCTCTCCCAGCTTTCAGCTTCATTAGATGTTCATGAGTTACAGCATTATGAGAGAGTGAGGAAAACTTTTGTCCATCCACTTTCTTTGTGATGTTATTGTTACCATTCCTCATAGTTCCATCCCCTTGATCATTTTGGTGGCCCTTTCCTGGACCGTTTCCAACTCTGCAATATCCTTTCTGAGGTGAGGCGACCAGAACTCTATGAAGTATTTCAGATGTGGTCACACCATAGGATTGTATGTGAAACAAAATACAGTCATACCTCGGGATGAATACGCTTCAGGTTGAGCGTTTTCGGGTTGCACTCCGCGGTGACCCAGAAGTAACGGAATGCGTTACTTCCAGGTTTCGCCGCTCACACATGAGCAGACGCTCAAAATGACGTCACGCGCATGCACAGAAGTGGCGAAACGTGACCCGCGCTCATGTATACGTGTCTTATGTTCCTTTCAGGATGCGAACAGGGCTCCGGAATGGATCCCGTTCACATCCAGAGGTACCACTGTAAAAAAATTCCTTCCAGTAGCATCTTAGAGACCAACTAAGTTTGTTATTTGTATGAGCTTTCGTGTGCATTTGTATGAGCTTCTTCAGATACCAAGTATGCATGCACACGAAAGCTCATACCAATAACAAACTTAGTTGGTTTCTGAGGTGCTACTGGAAGGATTTTTTTTTATTTTTTTTCGACTACAGCAGACCAACACGGCTACCTACCTGTACATAGGCTTGTATGATAGCATTATGTATAACAGCATTGCAATCTTGCCAATTTTATTTGTAATACAAGGTATGCCTGTATATACTAAGGAGACTTCTAGACCATCACTGTTTTGTGGGAAGGATCCAAGAGCATCTTGAAACTCACCCAATTAAAGTGGATTATAGTACTCTTCTGATATAGCATAACAAATCCACTTTTTAAAAATAAAAACAAAGAAACTGATTTCCTTATGGTTTGCAAACTGATGGGAAAATGCAGTGCAAAGGATGGGATGAAGGATTAATGAGATAATGAGTGCTCACTGTCATATAACTCCCCCATAAACAGATCAGTGCTGACTCTCTGAGACACATGAATAGGAGTGAGCAACTGAATTGTGCCTAACCCAGATGACCCTTCACAGAAGACCGTCCTCTACTGGTTCAGTCCAAAGCCAATTTAAAAGATCCCTTTGAAGGGGGAAAATGGGGCTCTTTTTGTTACTACGCAGGCAGCTGACTAGGCAAGCAGTCACACTGCTCACCTGGCCACATTATTCCCCATCCCCAATGTAAATGATTCAGTTGTGATACCTGCATAGCAGGGTGTTGTACCAGATGACCTGTAGGGTCTGTTCCAACCATACATTTCTATGATTCTATAAAGACCAGACATAGTCTAAACACCCCATAAGCTTTGTGCAAGTGAATCAGGATGAACACTGAATAAGCAGGATGTCTGCAGGCAGGGCTGGATTAACCATTAAGCAAAATAAGCACATGCTTAGGGTGTCAAGGGAAGGAGGGCATGACATAAATTTTCCATTGCCGGATTTACCAGGGACCATATGGTGCAGCTGAACCAGGTTGCATAAAAAATGCTCCCAGGATAAATGAAAAAAAAAGACATGTATGTACACACACACACACACACACACACACAAACAACAACAACAATGTAATAATACAGATTAATGATATACGATTTAATTTTTTTTATATTTTGAATTATGGGGGCCCCAAAATCTTTCAAGTGCTTAGGCCCTCTAAAAAGGTCTTAATCTGGCCCTGTCTGCAAGTACCCTGAGATGTTCCTATGCTACCTCCCCAAACTCTCTCCCTTCTATCTTATAGGTACCATAAATACTGTAAATGCATCTTCTATGTGCCAGCTGCCCTGGGACCTTGGAAACCATAACCTCCTCTGTGTTCTGTTGCTTTTTTGCCAGAGTGCATGCTGTTATTTACAGATTGCGTTGACTTAACCCCTGCCCCACTCCCTGGGTCCAGTCTATTTGTTTCCTCCATTCCTGGTGGTCGCTAATGCACAAAATTTGTCTCCGAGTCTCTCAACAAGGCTTCCCATTATAAACAGGCAAAAAGAAGAAAGTAAAGGGACAGGGCTCATGGAGCGTTGTGGTTCAGCAATTACTCTCAATCTGTGCCTTCCTCAGTGGAGAGATAAAATGGCTGGTAGCATCCAGCAGGGGATGCTGCAGAAAAGACTATATTAAATCTCATTTTATAGGGGCAAAGAGGTGTTGGGAAAAGATAATAATGTATTCCGCAGGCTGGAATCTGGCAAATAAACATCCGGCTTGGAACGGGATCCGTGTTTTATTTGCTAGGCGGTGCACTTAAATGGTCTCAGCTGGATTGGGATTTTAAAAAGCTTTATGGCTTTAGATTTTATTTACTGCTCTTGTGTCCATCAAAATACAGCTTTACTTTAAAGTGTTTTGGGTTTTTATTTTATTTTATTTAATGGAACAATAACATCACAAAACTCGTAAGGAAATCCCTACTCCATGTACTTTCAAACAGGGTTTTTCCCAGATGAGAGCCTTAATTTCATTTTTGAATTTATTAAATTTATATTCTGCCATTCATCAAGAGACCACAGGCCAGTTTACCACATAAAACACAACATACATAATATAATAATAATAAAAGGAGGGGGGAGACAAATACCAGAGAGAAAGAGAGAGAGAGAGAGAGAGAGAGAGAGAGAGAGATGTTTTTGGAGAATTAGATGCATGCTGTTTGTTTATCTGTCTCATTTATATTCCACTTTTCCTCCAAGGAGCTCGAGGTACTGTCCATCGTTCTCATCCTTTCCATTTCATTCTCACAACAACCCTGTGAGGTTGGTTAGGCTGAGAGGTAGTGACTAGTCCAAGGCTATCCTGTTAACTTCATGGCTGAGTGGGGATTTGAACCCTGGTCTCCCAGGTGTACATCCAGAGCTCTAACCACTACACAATGGTGGTACAAGATGTCTTTCCACAAATACTGTGCAAGTATTTTTGTGGATGATAGCATGCTACTTGATAAGGACACTGAAAGAGTGGAAATTGCTGGTGCTTTTTATTCCCTCCATATCTGGAACAGAAATCAATGCAGTTGCTTTTGTTTATATGCTATCATTACATAATTGATCACCACCAACCCCATTTGCTTTGTGCTTTCTCTGCACTTAAATTAATGGTGTGGAATAGCACAAGGATAAAATAATCAAGTATGTAAAAATTCTGCCACAGCGAGATGAACAATGCAGCTTTTGTCAGAAGCCAAGCTGCAGCGGAATGGAAACGGTGCTGCATTGAAATCAATGCCACCCTACATCTCTGTTTGTATAGTGCAACTATGGTGTACAAAGACTATACACTCATTGCTTGTGAATAAGTGCATGAGTGTACAGCTAAACTGTCTGGACAGATTGTACACTTATTGAGTGTAACTTGTGAACACCCTTTATGTTGAGGCCGATTGTGGCCTGCTGCGAACAGCTTCTCCGTGCTCACTTCAGTGCATCCAGAGTCTGCCATTGCTCATGTTGGGCTTCCAGTAAGCCAACAGCAGCCCAGGGCAGCAACATGGAGGGTAGAATGAGTTTGTGTATGCCCACTAACCATGTGTCACGGGAGAAAGCAGGAGCCAAGCAGCACACATCCAGCAGTAGAAATAGGGGAGAGAAGAAAGAGGGTGCAGACAGCAACAGAAGAAGGAGAAACAGAAGGAGAAGGGAAGAACTCAATCTTCCTGTCTATCTGCCTTGGCTTCTGATTTCCACTTCTACCCCATTCTGACATTCACTTGCTGCTTTTGCAATGTAACCCGTGCATAAGCTGGAACATGTTATTGGTTCTTGCTTTCTTTCAACTATTTGTAGTAAAGTATTTATTCAGCTGAAAATGGAAAGGGTGCCAGAGTGGCTTCCAGATATCAGTTCTGCCAGCCCTTGCCATCAGCCTTGTAGTCTAAATGACACGGCACAAAAGGAAAATGGACTGGGGAGGCAGGAGGAGAGAAAAAAGAAAGCTCATACACTAGTTCTTAGTAATGAACAGCTGGAATGGAGAGAGTTCAAGGAGGAGAGGAGCTAATAGTTGCTGGTCTCTCAGCTGAGCCCATGGGGAGGCCCTCTGTTGTAGATAGGATGGAATAACTGATGGTAGATCACAACACTTCTAACCTCTGTCCTACTACCCATTGGATTGATAGTTGACTCTCCATAAGCCATGAAACTGGACACCTGGAGACTAGCCTTTTCTTGATGCTGGCACATGATGTGGTGTTCATTCTGTCTTCATGTAACTATTAACATGGATCCGGCTTCCTCCTTCACCTATAAACATTCATTGAAAGTGTGATGGTGGTGGGCAATCCATCTTTTGCCCCCTTTAGCCACCCTGACTCCTAACACAGCAGAGTGATTAAAGGGTGCTAAAGGGTACCAAATCTATCTTAAGTGACCTTGAGCATGTGCCTTTAGCTTTCCCTGCTGGGATCATCATTCATTCCATGTTCAACTTAATCTGCACTATCCTGGAAGAACAAAGAGAGAGAAGGGAAGCTTTTAGTGCTGAATTTTCCTGCCTCGCATTCAGAGATTTTATTTTTAAAAAATTACCAACATGATTGGGATGCTTGACAGATTCCATCTTTTTGAATTCCAGTATGAGCTGACCTGCTCTTGAACTAATGTAGGAATTGGAACACCGTTGTCCAGAGGTTTCCCAAAATAACCAAAACAATGATTGGTGCGTGTGCGCACATGCACAATCGTATCCTGCTGTCTTCTACTTAGAGTAGACCCATGGAAATGAACAGACCTAAATTAGTTGTGTTTATAGCTTAGGGGCCCACTCTCTTGGGGCCCCCAAATATACCTCTTCTTAATTGCATTTCAGTTCAACAATTACTTTGATAAAATACATATTTCGTTATGTGCAAATGGCTTTAGATACCTATTAGGTCCATAAATTACCATATAGCATAGATTCAACAACAACAACAACAACAACAAAACAGTGACAATTGGTTGTTGACAAAGGACAGCTGGACATATAAAGGGCCCCATGACCTTCAGTAGCTTAGGGCCTCATCAAACCTAAATCCGGCCCTGGTTGTGTCTTATTAATTTCAGCAGGTCCTTGTGCAAAAGTGACACAGGCTGGAACAGAGTGATCTATCCACCCCTGCCCACAAAGTTACTTTGAAGTCTGTTGTGTGTTGACAAAATCAAGCCCAACTCCCTTATACCTTAGGAGCAATCCACACACTGGCAATGAGGTGTGTGGTGCTTTTCCAGCTGCTCGGGATATTTGGCACACGCTCCAGTGTGGGCTATGCTCGCTAAATGGCCTGCATCTACTTGAGGGAAGAAACTCAGTTCTTTGTTAATTAGGAAGCCAGCGAGCTTTTTGTTGCATATATATATATATATATATATATATATATATATATAACAGAGAGAAGTGAAATTTGTGCATGGACTGTATTCAGGCTCTTGGCTGCATATTCACTTTATCAGCAGAACACACTGTTCTACTGGGACGCCGATTCTAGGTCAGCCATAAAGGGATCCTTCCCCCATTTTCATGTGTATTTATTTCAGTGTATTCAGGGCAGCTCTTGGAACACAAAACTGAAGTTATTTTTTTTTCTTTCTCCCACCCGCAA